GTCGACATTTCCTTATATCGTAGCAATGTAGAAATAAAATAAAGGCCATTGGAATATATGTTCATCTCCCTAAGATCCATTCAGTGATGATTCTGAAGATGATCAATGGACAAGAGTTGTCTGTATTAAAGAGTAAATACCCTTGAAGTGCAACGATTTGACCGGTTGACAGGTATCATTACTGGGATTTGTACAGTTCGAGTAAACTCGATATTTCGATAGATCGACACAAATCGTAAATGCCTCTGATTTCCTAGATAATGGAATTACTCGTCATATCTGAAAACACAAGTAACTCTGATGCAAAAGATTATGAATACCTTTCTGATTTCATAGTGCCTCGAAAAATATCTAAATACTTTATGATCCTGATAAATCATGTTCTGAATAACTGATGAATCTGTCAGCTATCAAACCCTTTTATGGGGATCTCGCCTATGAATTTAATCGGTTTACAGAAGTTTCATGACTTCCTATTTGATAAATACCAATCACCTTTGAATAATATCTGGAACCTCTAGTGTGTTCCCTGATCACATGGATGTTTTTTCTGATTTTAAAAGTATGTCTCTGTTATCTGAAATATAGTTTGACCTCTGATTTATGCTCTAAACTTGATATTTGTTTTGATCTCTAATTTCGATTATGATCTCTAATCTCTGCTCTGATTTTTTATATCTCTATTTACTGACTGAAATTATTTTTATACGGGGTACACTGGGACTTTGGTATAACTGAAGACTCTGGCATATACAGTCGCTAATAGTAATTTCTTTTATAGGTTCAGCACCAACTGGTAATTCCTTATGGACATAACGAGACTCTTAGGTGGGCTCCTGGGCCTAATGGTCCTAGTGGTAAGACCTTATTGACCCTAAGGCACTCCCTTAGGGTAGCTCATATGCTGTGTGCATTAGGTAAGTCCTTATGGGCCTGAGGGCACTCCCCTCAGGTGGGCACCTACGCTTTGGCGAGGGTAAGACCTTATGGACCCAAGGTGCTCCCTTATATTGGCACCTACGCCCTTTGGGCATAGGGTAAGTCTTTATGGATGCAGTTCTGGGGAATTGTATATTGACGTTCGGTTGGATGGTTTAATTATGGTTTTTAAAGATACGTTTTAAACTGCTACTGTTTAAAAAAAAAGGATTTGTACATTTTCACTGGTTTTGTGGGAATACACTAGACACCTTATTCTGATATTCTGAACTTAATCCTCTGAACATTTACTCTGAACTGGAAGTTTCCTGTCTTTTACTACCTGAGATATCAGTGGGATCTCAGCTCAACATAAAAATCTGTAAATGTCTGAATCAATAAGGAAAAATATGCTTACATATTATTTGCATGTCCTTCAGCATCACTTGGTAGTTCTGTATTACTGAGCTTTCCAAAGCTCACTTTGTTACTCACTTTTTCATGTTAAAAGGATTAAACTAGTGCAACTATCAACATCAGTAAAGGAGTTCCCTCAGCGTTACTTGCGGAGTTTGATGCATGTGTTTAGGGGGCATGTAGATGGTATTATGTTTTTATATACGAGTCTGAACGTGTATGAATTTAATTTTGTATGTAATATATGAATGGTTTTTCAAACTTGTATTGTAATTATAAATTGTTTTATGATTTTACATGTTTTAAAAGAAATTTTAATTTTTCATGGATTTTTACGGTAGGTCGCTCCGGTGGCCCTAATGTGACATCCCGGATCGGATCGAGTTACCCGCATCGGTCTGTGGGTGTTACAATGTGTGTATTCGTAACTAAAACAATTCATTTGTACAATATAAACCAACTACCAAAACCATCCTATAATCCTGCCTACATACACTCACATTATACAAATACTATTAAACTTATCTCAATCCTTCCCCTCCATGCTGAAAAATTATTAGATAAAATTTGCTCATTACATCATCCGTGATCCTAACGAATAACATTTGTCCATCTCATTTTTCGAAGATGAATCTTCATATGTTTCCTACGTATAAATAAGAAGTGGGTAATTATTTGAAAATTGATGGATCTGATTCATTGGGACAATAGATGACGTGATGAGTCGGGTCTATGAAATAATTACTCATGCATGTTCGACAGCTCCAGCTTTGTAGTCGCCTTCAAATTTACTTCCAAGTCGTCTACCAAGGTACCTTATAGGCAGTTTACCGCCAAGATAAAACCCTAATCTAAAGAATCAAAGGTCTTCCGTAAATACATTATGAGTATGACCGGTTCAATGAATTCTATACATATTTATATAATCAATATGATACGTTTAATGCATGACTTTTAGTTTTATCTAAAATTTCAATGCAATTATTAAATTATGTAATAATTTTATTTACTTTTATCTCGAAAATTACAATATTTGTCGCGATGGTTGTTGTCAACATATAAGATAATTATTTGTCAACCTATTGAGTATCCTCAGTGATCAAAAGTAATATTATTTTCTTTGAGGTAGTTCTGGATTCGAATAGATACACTTTTAGGACGTGTGCATTATCAATGACTAAAAAAATATTATTTAATAATATCAACCAAGTCATTTATCGTTAATATTTGATGAAAAGAATAATATAGCACTTGATAAAATTGGTATACTTACATATTTAATCTTCATCTACTTTATCAACTTCATCTTAATTTTAATTTAATTTAACAAATCATAAAGTCATTTTTTATTCTAAATATTATATTAAATATAATTTAAAAGATATAAAAAAATATTCAATTATAAACTAATTATTACATTTGCTTTAATGATTTGAGTCCTTAATTTAATTTTTTTCTAACATTAATTACAATATGAAATACATAAAAATGTTATAACTCGTATACTAAATATGGGATTTGGCCCGAGGGTAAAGGCATATTCCCAATCCCCCCAAAGATTTAGATTCAATTTCTCCTAAAGCAATCTTTCTTCAATTTATTTTCCTTCAATCAATGGCACTTACTCTCGTCTAATTAGAAAATAAATTTATTGAATTAAATTAAAATAAAAATAAAAAATATGAAATATATAAATAATAATGACTAAATAAATAATTATATAAAATTTAGGATAAATTACTTAAATGACCACCCAACCATAGGGTTGGTATCAAAATGACCACCATTGCGTCAATATGACCACTGAACTATTTATATGGGTTCAATATAGCCACTAGTTGTTAGTATTTAACGAAAATACTAACGTAGAAGTTAACAACATTAGTATAATTACACATTCGATCCTTAATATTTATACATTTTCTCAATTTGATCTTAATTTTAATTTAATTCAATAAATTTAATTCTCTACTCGAGTATCAAAGGTATACCTTTACGCGCCTTAACCACTGAACCACTTGGCATGTTTGATAAAAAATTAAAACATGTATTTTTAAGTGCTATCATATTTTTTTAATGATTTAAATGCTATCACATTCTCAATTGACCTAAGTTTAAGTTCTCACTGATTTATTTTTATTTCTTTTTTATCATTACTTATAATATATGATATATATAATTTTGTAACTAAATTATGAATATTTGATTTAGCCTAATAGTTAAAACTTGCTTAGTCTTCGACATGGTCTTGGGTTCAAAACCAATTTAAACAATTTTTATTTCTTTTTTCTGTCTTTAACTAGATATATAATAGTGTGCTAACTTTTTATCAAACATGCCATGTGGTTTAGTGGTTAAGGCACACAACTGTTTTCCATAAATACCTAAGTTTGAATCCTCTGTAAACCCTTTTCAAATTGTTTCCTCTTCAATTCAGATGACAAAACGTGTCACTTTTGATTGGATTGAAAATTTATTAAATTAATTTAATTAAAATTAAAAATACCTAATCAAGTGGTGACATGCGTCACAATTTGATTGGAGAATTAAAATTAGAATCGAATTGAGAGAATCTATAAGTATAGAAGGATCATATGTGTAATTATACCAATTTATTAAATGCCAATCATTACTTCTATTAAATACTATCAGCTAATGGTCATTGAATCCATTTAAATAGTTCAATAATCATATTAACACAAATTTAAAAATGATGGTCATTTTGATGCCAAATCCATAATTAGATGGTAATTCAAGTAATTTATCCTAAATTTTATTAATACTTTTGTCAATTCTTCAGTTAAATATTAACAAAATATAGTTTAATAAAATAAAAGAATCAATAATCAAAGTAGAATCGCCAAAGGTAATTGATGTAATTTACCCAAAATATATCAAAAAGTAAGCCTTGAAGAATAATTACAGCCAGAATTAAACCAGAAGCTGGGATAATTGCAGCTAACTGGGGACAATAATTACTTGCAAAATGGTTCTCAAGAGCCTGAGAAAAATGCAGCTCTACGATTACATTCTAGATAAATTATGTATTTAGTACCTAAACTATTAGTTTTGGTCTATTTTAGTACATAAATTTTCAATTTTTTCAAAACTATACATAGAGTTTAGTTTTTGTTTCATTTTAGTATCCAATTTTTAAATTTGACGTTGAGTTTTGAAATTTTTTTTGAAAATTTAGATACTAAAACGGACCAAAACTGATAGTTATGTACTGAACATGTTAATTTTTTAATGGCGGATACTAAGATGAAACAAAAATTAAACTTTATGTATGGTTTTGAACAAATTAAAATTTTAGATACTGAAACGGATCAAAACTGATAGTTTAGATACTAAATGCATATTTTACCCTTACATCATCCATAAAAAGCAAGCATGAGTTTGCAATTTCAGACATTGATTGCTGAGTATGTCGGAAATTGAAACCGCTGTGGTTAACTGAAACCGCCGCAATGAATAGATTTTGGCAACTAAAAGAATTATTATTATTTTTGAATATTTCAAATTTAAATATAATATTTATAAGAATATTTAAATATTTATTATTAAATATCGATAATTTTTAATTTAAATAAATATTAGTTTATGCTTATACTAGATGAGTGAAAAAAATCCATAACTGTAAAACTTGGGAAATTCCTTGCCTCTTCAATAATTTACATGCAGCTTTCTGGAGTTTACAAACACATCTATGGCGCTGGAAGAGATCGGAAGAACTAGAGAAAAAGAAGAGCAAAACCCCACCTCCAAAAAGCAAAACCCGGAGCCCTACCCCCCAAGGAGATCACCGGAAAATATAGAAAAGGAGAAAATAAAAAAAATTCAATGGTTCTCGGCCTTCTCAGCGGCACAGCAACAGCTCTTTTCACCGGAAAAAGAAGACCGGCCGGTTGAAGAAATGGGGGTGGCCAAGAACGTCGGCTTCACTTGTCCCGCCATTATCACAAGAAACTTCTGTTCCACAACAGCAGCAGCTCCTCCTTTCTCAGAACTCTCATCTCCTTTACCCTGTCCTTCCTCCAAGTCTCTATTATCACCTTCACCTTCGTTCCCAAGGTACCCCGACAGTTTCCAATAAGAACAAGCGAGAAGGAGAAGCGCAAACGCTATGAGACCGAGCATGGCGGCCAAGCCTCCGAACAAGTAGGGCACCGGCGAATGCCACGTCGAGTGTGGAGCTGCTGAAGGTGTCGATGCTGCTGTCACGACGTTGAATTCATCGCTTGATGCCATTTTTTTGTTTTCTTTTTAGCGAAACTTGTACAAAGTGAAAAACTAAAATTGCGAAGATCGAACTGTTGGGGATGGATTGCAATTTGCAAAGGTATTTATACAAGGATGAAAATGGAGGATTGGTTTAGTTTTTGAGGTGATTTATGGTTTAGTTTTTGAGGTGATTTATGACGTCAATTTTTTTTTATGTAACATAGTAATAACACGGCTGAATTTACGAGATAATGTTGTGAGAAAAAAAAATTCACGAGATAACGTGTTCCAACAATTAATTGTTGAGATATGATGTTTGCTACAGTTCGAATATAGATCGCCGGGTGATCTGGGCGACCAAATGAAGGTCGCCAGGTGGTCTGGGCGACCAATGCTGGGCGTGCGGGTTGTTTCACAAACAAAACACTAAACACTAGTTGTTTGCACTAAACACTAGTTGTTTGGGTTAAATACAAATTTGGTTCTCACAACTTTACACTCTCATACTCGTGTTTTAATATTTAGGGGATAATAGCATTTTCGGTCCCCTATGCTTTGTAATCTATTTGTTTAATCATTTAGTGACATTTTTAATGTTTTGTTTCAGGCATGTATATTTTAATAATTATATTTTAGTCACTAGTTGTTTATTCTGTCAAGTTTGTGTATGCTTCATTTTGATCATAATATTTTTAGTTATTTCATTTTAATCACTGATTTCATGTGTTTTATATATTTTCCTTAATTTTCAAAATTGGCCATGAAATTTGTAAACATGTTATTTTAGCCACTGTTTAGTATTTATGTTTAATTATAATTTAGTCATACATGTTTCTTGTTTATCCTATTTTAGTATGTATTTATTTCTCCCTACCAACGATATTATTTCGCAAAATTTTCCAATATAAAATAAAACTAAAAAATAGTGAAAAATACTCAAAATAAATAAACGTAGAACAAATAAAAATTATAGAATACAAAACAAGATATCCCAATAATCAATTTTAAAATAAATACATACTAAATACAAAACAAGATATCCCAATAATCAATTTTAAAATAAATACATACTAAAATAGGATAAACAAGAAACATGTATGACTAAATTATAATTGTTTGTGACTAAAATAAATACATGTATGAGAGTGCAAAGTTATGAGGACAAAATTTGCATTTAACCCAAATAATTAATTATTGCATGTATAAACAAGAAACAAATTTGCATGGCGCCCAGACCACCTGGCGACCTTCATTGGTCGCCCTGACCACTCGGCGACCTTCATTCGAACTGTAGCAAACATCCTATCTCAACAATTAATTGTTGGAACGTGTTACCTCGTGAATTTTTTTTCTCACAACATTATCTCGTAAATTCAGCCGTAATAACACAATCAACTTAATTAAATGATTAAATAAATCGTTGATGTTATACAGATTACGTGTTCAAGTCACATATTCAAATATCACTACTGCAATAGGATGATTCAACATAAGTGGAGTTGATGGAGAATCTCTAAAGAAAACAGTAGTACTACTACTACGGGCAAACGTACTCGGCCAGTAGCAAGTGGGAACAAGTTTAATTTGTTGAATTCTTTGGGCCGAGGAACAGCTAAACTACTCCTCAAGTCTTCTTTATAATATAAAGGGGGGGAAATACATGAAGTCCCTGTACTTTTAAAAAGATATAATATGTCCCTCATATAATTTTCTTTCTCAATATAGCCCTCCAATTCAAATAAGAATCTAATGTGGTCCTTTGACCAACGACTCTGTTAATTCCCGTTGACATGGATGTTTTCTCAAATTTGTTACGAGGGAAATACTTCTTATGGTTGATGGTACAAACAGATACTGCAACAAAACATGTTTTCAGCGGCGTTTTTACCCTATATTGGGATTTTTAAGCTTAGAAAACCGTCGATTTTTTAATGTAAAAGGACAAGTTTAGAACATAATGAATAGTCGGGTGACCCTTTTATAACTTTTGATAGTCGAAAGACTCGACAAAGCAACACTCTGTATCGAAAGACCATTTTGTAACTTCTAATAGTCGAGGAACTTAATAAAACAATACATTATAGTCGGAACCATCTGTGTACTTTACCCTTAAAAATAAGAGTGACGTATTGGAGGAATGGATTCATATAAATCATTATTTATAAGACTGTAATTTATATATCGATGATATGGTAGATTTGATTTTTTAAAAGTGTATGTTTCAAGAGAGATGGAAGGAACCTTGGTAGTGATAAAATGTACAATTACTTTATTGAAGTGGGATTGCCACCACCTTAATTAAGTGGTTTATTATTCAGAATTATGGGTTCCCACAAAGCCATGATTGTTATGATATTAATCTTAATTAATATGGCAGTAGATAAGCTTTAACTTTAGTGGAATAATGAATAGGAGATTCAATCATTGGACCATGCAGTTGTTATTATAAACAAATTGCATCACAATATATATATATATATAATAAAATTGGATATTAATGTTGGAATCCATAGTCACGAAAACAAAGGGGATATAGAGCACATGTTCCCTATGTGGATGGAAATATGATGAGAATATCATTTATTGATTTGGGGAAGGAGGAGGGATTGTCTCTAGAGACCGATATAATATTTTATGTTAGAGAGATTGATTTATAAGATTTTAAACAACTGTAACTTTATAAAATTTTAGAAGGACGAAAATAGATTTTTAATTGAATATATATATATATATATATATATATATATATATATATATGAATTTAAAAATTTTAAGAGGGGCAACCATCTCACCCGACTTCCTCGATTCATCTCTGATTGTCTCGCAACATACATAATAATATTATGGAAACTCATGTTCCATACGTAAATAAGATGACTCGAAATTAAGTGCATGAATAACAAACAAAAAAAATGAGATGTTTAGAGCAATACATAATATTATTATTTCTTTGATAATTTAAGATAATTATAAAATGTAATTATTCAGATTTAAGACCTTTGTCGAGAATAATATCTTTTCACTGAAATCATTTAATGGATTCTATTTAAAATCTTTCGTAATCATTAAAGAAATAATAATATTCTATTTTGCTCGAAATATCTCATTTTTTTATTTTTAATCCATGCACTTATTACTTTCGAGTAATCTTATTTATGTATGAAACATGAGTTGCCATAATATTATTAGGGAAAACTACAAATTTAGTACTTAAATTATCAGTCTTAGTCCGTTTTAATACTTCAACTTTCAATTTTTTTCAAAACTATACCTAAAGTTTAGTTTTTGTTTCATTTTAGTACCCCATTCAAAATTTAACGTTAAATCTTGATTTTTTTAAAGTTTAGGTACTAAAACGAACCAAAATCGATAGTTTAGTGTTGAACATGTTAAGTTATTAATAATGGGATAATAAAATGAAACAAAAATTACACCCTAGGTATAGTTTTGAAAAAAAAATAAAAGTTTAAGTATTTATACGGACCAAAACTAGTAGTTTAAATACTAAATGTATAGTTTACCCTAATAATATTATGGTAGCTCGTGTTTCATACGTAAATAAGATGACTCGAAAGTAATAAGTGTGTGAATTAAAAATAAAAATGAGATATTTCGAGCAATATATATAATATTATTTCTTTAGTAATTTAAGTTAATTACAAGATGTAATTGTTCAAATTTAAGACTTTTGGGAAAAATAATACTTTCTTTTATTACTGAGATTATTTGATGGAATCTATCTAAAATCTTTCGTAATCACTAACAACTCATACACTCCATGCAGACGTAGGCACAACTGCTCGAATTCAAGATTTCTAGAGAGAACAATACCCCTCCCTGTAGACGTAGGCACAACTGCTCGAATTCAAGATCTCTAGAGAGAACAATACCCCTTTAATCACTGAGGCAACTTAATGAATTCTAATCTAATTGTTAAACTATCAAATTTAAATATAAACATTTAGAGAGCCATTGAGTGGTCTAAATGTTACAAGAGAGTGTTATTCTCTCTAGAAAATCCAAGTTCGAATAGCTGCGTCTACAAAGTATACACACGTTACCAATATGCTAAAAATATTTGAACAAGTACCACTGAAGTAAGTTGGTTCGTACTGTAACTCTTATTCTTGAAAGTTGTAAATAGGGCCACCCATAATCTTTGCCACCGTCGTTTCCAATTACAACATAAAGAAAGACATGTAGACACCCGTTTTTGTCCGGATTATAAATATTATATTAAAATTATATTATTATTATTATTAATATTATTATTAATGTTACATATTATTTTTTTACAGGCTCAAGACCCAGATTACAAATTTCCTATAACTCAAGCTCAACCCAGTGACCATTACCCCAGTTACCGGTTTCCATCAATGCATGAGCCAATCACCAAGCAAGTCACTGCCACCAATCATGCCATCCATTGAAGCTGATATAATGGAAAACATAAGCAAAATCAATAAACAAATCAGTCACCAAGGTCAAAGAGATTTGACAAACCTTTACCTAAACCTTTGAAATGGAAATAAATCCCGAAAATTATGGGATTAAACGTACCTGCTTCAGCACTAATCCAACGACAAAGGAAAATGGTGAATTCAAAGCAACCATAAATATGGGGGCAATTATACGAGCAGGAGGGGAGGAAAAAAAGAAGGGAGGATTCGAACAGGGGGACGGAAGCCAGAAAATACCCTTTCCCGTTGTATTTTAACCAAAAAAAATACTGTACTGGATTTTTTTTCCTTTTATTCGAAGAACAAAGAAGCAGAGAAGTTCTCATTTCAGCGAATCAAAGCAATACAAAGAGAAATTCAGTCCATACGAGGTTGTTCTTGATTATTATTTACTTTAATATTTTTCTTAATTTGTTTTAATAATTTCTAAATTAAATGCAATTCCTAAAAATAAAATAAAGTAGAAAGGGATTATAAATTTACCTTAGTTATGAACAACAGTAGAGTTTGGTGGCTATACTATGCGTTCGGGTTTCAATTTCTAGAATTAGAGGATTGTGGTTAGTAAACTGAATAAATCAGAAATTAAACAACAATAAAATGTAAATAGGAAGAGAGGAGTCGGAGTTACCTCACAAGAAGGGGTTGA